AATATTCCAGCAATATCACGGCGGGGAACACCTGAAATAAGCTTCACATATTCTACCCATTTTGGGAATCGAATCCGGGTATTAGGCGAGACGACCGAACAGATTCACCACCAGGCTATCCCACCGCCCCAAGAAATAACACACGTTTTGATACAGTCGCAAACAGTTAAAAAACAATTATGGTATCGGTAATTATGGTACCAGTCAGACACATTATCAGCTGTTAAACAAGGGAGGACACTTTTCTTTAATGTTTAAATGTATTTTATTTCTAACAGAAATAGATCCATTCCTTATTTCACAGAAAGATGGATCATGATATCAAACGATACTATAAACGATATACATTGTTGGAATATTTTATATGTACAAAATGGAATAACATACATACAAGTCTTGTTTTCCATGTAGGGCAAGGGTACCTGAAGATAGAAAGTCGCTACACTGACTAAACAACACAACGTGCAGTGTAGGTTTCCGCGAGATAAAATCATAGGGCTTAAAAAATCCTATTACTTCATATTCACCATCCAAAAACACAAAAGAGTTTGCTCAAGTAAAATTCATTAAAATACCCAGTCAAGTACAGAAAAAAGTATTATAAACCCGTATACACTAAAAAAAGTAAGCATCGATTTATATTCGAAACAACCAGGTAACACACTCACCAACGATTTGATTTAAAAATAAATTGGAGATATTCAAATTACACATATTTCAGAAAACTGCCTCATCGAAAGATTCATCATATGTGTTATGTTGATTCCAGAGAATCACGTGAACCAAGCGACGTCACGTGACACACACGACGACAACCAGGAAGTGGAGCGGGGACAGTCTGTCGATTTACGGTGTTGTAATTGTGGTAAGTCTCACGTTAATATGACACAATACAAACACAGATATTACTACCTTTAACAGTAACTTGTGTTTTTAGCAAACATTTCTTCTGATTTTGGACTGTTATCTGGGGAGTAAGGGAAGGTTAGTTCACTTAGTTTCCGCACAGGTTAGTACAGAGGTTTCCCTTTAATACAGAAAGTAGACTTGGAATCAACATGGACTAACGTATGTACCGGTGAGGTGTCAGCTGTTGAAATGTCAGTGCTGAAAATGGCTACCCACATTGGTGCACTTCTACAGAGTGTTTTTGTTATCAACATTTATTAACACGAAGTTTTAAGACAAATCAGTACAGTACATCATGGCTTTGTGGCGATACACTTGATGTCACCAGCGTTATGTCCCTTTAAATATTCAATGATCTGCATGTGTGTGTGTTCAGGCGCTTGAGTGTGTTCAGGCACGGGCGCGTGTGCGTGTGCGTGTGCGTGTGTGTGAGTCACTTATAGATTTAACAGAACCTAATACATCTAGGAGAGTAGGTTCTGATTATGTGACAGTTTACAAACGTGTGTGGACGCGTTCCTGAACATTCACTAACTTTAAGAACACCCCTATATTTCCTAATAGTACTTTGTGATGTACTTCCACTATTTAGAAACAAGCGAAATAGGCGAGATTTATACAGCGTATGACCAATACAAAAGATATATCTGATACTGGCTGTTTTAAAATAATACAATGAATTAACCCGGAACGGATATTTGGGTGAACAAGTTCTTTCAGCTGGTGAAGTCCCGGACATCCGTTAGTGACACATGTTACTCTGTCTCCTTTAGGAAATGAAACAGTTTTTAGAAAACCTCATGCATGTTGAAATTAACCCGTAATGGAAACGACTTTGTTCTTCTACTTTTGGTTTGATTCAATCAAACTATTTTCAATCAGATGATTCAGATCTTTGCTTAAAACAATACTCAGGGTTTAGGTTTTTTTTAAATTAAATCAGGAAAACTTTTTTTGTATCCATCCTCAATAAATGGTCAGTGTATTTTAAAATGAATAGGATTTTTATTCCTATTTTCTCCAGTCATTTCCATCAGTGTTGTGTACATGTATAACTAAAATATGCATAAAAATAAGGTCAAACGACTTTTTCCCCTTTCCAATAGCTATTCGACTGTACATGAAAACCGGATGTTGCACTTTTGCAACAACCCATTTTCCACTGAACTGTTTTCCATGGACAACTCAGGCTTCACGTTAACGGTTAGTTAATGGTATTCCCCACCTTTGATAAATGCAACATTTTGAATATGACCACATCGGCTTATACAACATCGGCATATTTAGAATCAGATAATAATGATAATGTTTCTATTCTTGTCATAAATGTCTATTTCAAGCGGCTCCCCGACTGAAGCTAACGTAGCGATCGCAAATAAGCTTGTTTTACTCCTGATATTACGCGAGTGATGACCACACGGTGCTTCTGTTGACTTTTACAACAAAGTTCGTCTTATTCAAAGTCCTGAGTGAAGTTTTAATGCTTATCTCTTTACACTTAGAGAGAAACGTGGCAAAATGTAGACTGTACGATCTGATGGTTGTGGCACCGGTACTGTGCGGGGAGTTGCAGGGAATAAATATGGCACTGTACGGAGAGTTGGTATGATAATGATGCATGTATTGTAATAAGATTCCTGTTACAAATGGTTTTCTTTAATTTTCAGGCTAAACGCATACTACATATCTCCTGTTACCGATGGCGACTTTCCACTGCTACCATTGTGCTCTTGTTTCGGACTTTTAGACTATTATTTGTCAGGTTATTGTTGCTCATCCACAGATGTTTTATAGGTCCGACAACGAAATGTGGATTGTAGCATTTCCATTATAAGTTTTCATGACTTTCTGAATTCGAAAGGGCTATCGAAATTGTATTTCCTTTATATTTGGACTGAGGGGCAGAAAATCTTTTGCTGAGAAATAACCAAATATTAATCCAAAAATTGAAAACCATCGTTAACGTGACATCAGTTATACAACTAAAGTTATGTACGTCACTTCATTTAACATAAGATGTATATAATTCTATCGCAATTTTTATGAACATCAATATTATGAAACCATTATTTGCTATTCATGATTCGTTAACTACAACTGGCAAGTTAAACATAGCAATCAAGTACACAATACACCTAGGCCAAACTTCCTCAAGTCCAGGCACCTCTGACGTAATAATCATTTCAAATACATATCTCCTATTTAATATCTGTCGTTTCTTAATGTTTATTCATAATATTTCTAAACCTTTTGAATCTTCTTAGTCAATAATCATAATTTACGCGTTAGCGATTTACAACGAAACTTATATTTGATGCAAAGTAACGTTTTGCGCAACGTTCCAAAAATATGTCTCTCAAACGTTTTGCATTTCTACGCAAACAAAAGATAGAATAAATCTATAATATCAGAATCAATCAAGTGAGTATTTTTAATAGGACTTCGAGGCCCATTTCAATTACACGTGAAAATTATTTTTCTAAATAATGCCTCAGAAAAAATAGGGATATTTTTCAGGAAAGACAACAAACTTGTAAGCACCTAGCACCTTGGTCTTTTAAAATAATTGTGACTTTGAATGCCCTAATGACCATGCTTTAGTCACTGAATTTAATTGTTATCAGAAATCTTCGAGTGTATCTTCATTGTCTAATATTCAATGTGTGATTGACACCAATAATCATTTCAACGAATATTTTAATTCTAATGATGAATGGACGAACAACGGATCGAACCTGCGAAATGATCCAAAACATGTGCACTCCAAATTTATATTCTGGGTTATCGATGTAAAAATCTGCATGGAGGTCAGAATCGAGAAATTTACGTCATTTTAATATTTTGGTACAATGTGACATGATCATAGGTTGTTTATTATAAGATAGTCTGTAAAAATATTCTCTGATCAAACGCTGCCCGAACGTCGATAACAGTAAAACTCAACTTATATATGCACTGCAGCGACACGAACATAGAGCAGACGACTGTTTACTTGAGCTATCAGAGATAAATGATATCTATATGTATATGTGCAGGTGTTCATTGTTCATTGTGTACGTTGTTCTCATAATAATGTAGCGATGATCGCCATTTAAAGGTTTTATTACATGTATGGCACCTGTACATTCTACCGTTGTGGTGTTCATACATGTAATCCTTTGCCATGACGCTCTGACAGACATCCTAATCCATGGCATCATCCTTATTCGAACAGATCTTGCGATGACGCTCAGGTTCTTTCTCTGGCAAGTACGATTTCTTACAACTTGGACACTTCTCTGGTCTTAAACTATGATGTTGAGTTACATGAGAGTTGTAACTCCACAGTTGTTTGAATTTCTTATTACATACAACACATTCGGAACTTCATATGTTCTTGTGGATGCTGAAGTGAAGTTACAAGCCATACTTAGTTTTGAAGCTTCGCCCGCATCTATCGCACAGGCGTGTCGTAGTTTTAGCTTTAATCGGGGTACTTGTGAAAACATGTGACGAATTTAAGGGAATGCAAGACTCGTCTAGGGCCTCAACATCCATTTCTGAAAGACTTTAAGCCATGCAGTACACCGTACCGTTTAAAGCAAACGGGTATTTATCATTTAGACAAGAGATAATTCCACATCGACCCGTATGTTAAACTTAGTATAGCACGATTTATTTTCCTGAATGAGTGTTCAAAACATATGACGTAGCTGTGATGTAATTAGTAAAACAGTTGTTGGATAACTGGTTCTAAACCATGTGCATAATTATGACTTCAAATTTACCTGCAAAACGTCGCAATTATCCACCTCATATAATGACCATTATTCATGTTACATCTAATAAGCATGCAAGACATGACATATTCCGAATACCTATCACAGAACTCAGTCACTCTGCAAAGGCGCAACTACCCGTACCCACAACCTGACGCAGTAGCAACGACCATTTAGCGTACAGCTTGGTTTCAGTCAAAACAAAGGCTTGAGACTTTCACAATACATGCATTGGGCATTTATAAAATAAATATGCCTTATGCCTGCATGGAAAAGGTCTAATTGTATGAAATAAACCATCTATATTCCCTTGATTGACAGATTTAGATTTAGATAATATTTCGTAAGGCACGATCACGTGATCTGAAATGCGACAGTAAATCATCCGGTAAAAGAGGATGAATGAATGTCACCTCATAAATATAGTAGTTAAGGGTACAAGAAGGCTTCATCTTTGGACACAAAAACGTTAAGCCGGTTCTATTCAAAATATTGTCTGTAATTACCGTGAACGTGAAGCCTGGGTTGTCCCTGAAAAACTGTACAGTGGAAAATGGGTTGTTGCAAAGGTTTTCATGTACAGTCGAATACCCCCTGCGAATATACTCACTGTGTATTGTTAATAAACATATGAATTAAAGCCACAAGAGTTATCCCCCTTTCACATCAGCGGCACTGAAGAATGTAGAATATCTTTCGTCCCAGGAGCTGTCTTCTGTCGTCAGTTATATTCTCACTGCGCATGTCTTATTTAGATATTACGCCTTATGATGTCGGTATGTTGCCTACATTTAAACGTTGCAAGAAGGCAAAACAGTTTTATTGTTTTAGACCATATTCTCTTTAAAACTGCAAAAGCCGCATTTATATATATTTAAACCGTGCATTCCTCTTCAGATAATGGCGGCTGCCAAAATATTGACAGACAACCACCTCACCTGTGTCATCTGTACGGAGGTGTTCACAGACCCTGCCACACTTCAGTGTAATCACACATTCTGTAAGTCCTGTCTGTTGAAATACACCAACACACAGCCTGAAGCAATACAAGCCAAGTCCATCCCATGTCCCTCCTGTAGACAACTGACGAAGGTGACCACCCCTGACAGTCCAGTGGAGGAGTGGGTCAGTCAGCTGAAACCAAGCCACGTCATACAGGGGCTGATGGATGAATGTGGACCAGGGAGCAAAGGTAACGAATTGACACTTGACGTTCAATGATTATTTTTAAATGTTGTGGAAATATGTAAAAATTGTGTTTTGTTGTAATTTTAAGATTGAATGAATATATACACTCAATGAATGATTTATGAAATATTTTCATTTGACACAATTTTAATTTTTCTGGTGTTTGGTCTCCTGTCAACTCATTACATCAGTCGACATTTATTATTGACATTTGCATTGATTCTTCTCACATTCTTATTATCTTGAAATTCAATTTCCAACACTATCAAAGTTAATTATTTAATTATTGTACAATGTAACTGATTCTAGGAAATTTCAATACACTTATATATGTGTTCCTTTATCTAGAACAAAAACAGCTTGTTCTTTGCCATTACAGCGGCCCATGTAAATATCTGCAGTGTTTGCAAAGTACAAGGGAAGACAACTCCTGCCACCTCGTGGTGCTCCGTCTGTGACGATGTCTTCTGTGATGGATGTCTGGAGATGCACAACATGATGCCAATGTCACGTGACCATGAAGTTGTGGGTTTGTCTGATACTACCAAAAGAAAAGCCAAGCAACGCCTCATGTGTAAACTCCACAAAGACGAACAGATTAAGTTGTTCTGTAAGGATTGTAGGGTGGCCATTTGTCATACATGCTGCAGTATAAAACACAGGAAATGTGACGATGTTGATACTTTAAATAACATGACGCCTGTTGTCAGAGAACACCTGTCAAATCAAACCCAAGAACTGAAAATCAAAATGACAACTTCAGAAAAGAGAATTACTTTCAGGAAATCTCAAATTGAAGAAATAGAGTCCAATGCGCAAATTATAAAAGATGAAATCAGACAATTACGTCAGAAAGTGGTAGAAGTGATTTTACGGAAGGAGAAACAACTCCTTGATAAAGTCGACCGATCTTCCGATGAACAATTACAGGAATTACAAGCAGATATAAAATCCCAGGAGATTGAGCTGCAGATGTACCAGCAACAGTATGAGTTCACAGCCAAAGCTGTCACGTCCAACTGTGAGGTGGACATGTATGCCATCTATGAGTCGGTGGGTGAGGAGTCGACAGACAACAGAGACAGGGACAACCGACCAGCGCCAGGAAGGGTTGTATTTACTCACGACATGGACAAGCTGAGTAAAGCAGTGGATGAACTACAGCTAGGGAAGGTTGAAGTTGTCAGAGGTGTGAGTGACCACCAGTCTACCCCTGTTCTACATCACACTATTGACTGTAAGGCAGATAATGACATCAGGTATCCTGAATTGTATGACGTCACAGTGTTGACTGTTGAGGGTATAAAAGTAACAGTAGTTGCGGACTACAATAACAAAAGCATCAAAACATATCACACATCAAAACCAAACACACTAAGTAATCATCTACTACTTTCCTATAGTCCTTATCAACTAGCAAAGCTAAATGAGAGTCGGATAGCTGTCAGTTTTCCGGGCAGTCAGGAAATAGTTACAGTGGATGTTACTCCAGATCCTGTATTGTTGTCAACTATCAAAACAAGTAAAAGGTACTTCGCTCTAGCCTGTCTGAGTCCTTCACAGCTGGTGGTGGCAGGTACAAAACTACAGTCTCACTATGTGGACATACTGGACATGACAGGGAGGATACTGAAGTCTATCAACACGGGTGTCATAAAGAATCCAAACTGTATCCATGTCACCAGTAATAACAACTTGATAGTTAGTAAAGGATCAGTAAAATCCCTCGTATCTGTGACCAGGGAAGGAGAAGCTGTTTTCACCTACACACCCACAGGGGACAGAGCTTTGAGATGGCCATTGGGTATCACAACAACAAGCACTGGGGATATCCTGTTTGTAGACCGCGTCTCCCACAAGGTGATTCAGCTGACAGAGTCAGGGCAGTTTGTCAGAGATGTCCTCACACAACAGGATGGTCTGGAATATCCTTGTGGTATCTGTCTTGATGGGGACGGGTTTGTGTATGTTACATGTGAGCGATATGTAAAGGTATTCAAATTTAACAAGTGATTCGTGTTTCAAATATACTCTTACAAAAAGTTGGTGAATATTATTTTTAATTTACGATTGATAAAGCTGGGAGATATATCGGAGCAATCAATGTTGATGATAATGGACATTTTGAGAGTGCATCACCACTTACACAAACTTATGGCCATAGTAGTTTGTACAGAAATAGCTCTTAAAAGATGATTGGTGTATGATGTGAAAACCGTCAAAATCCAGAATGACACCGGATGCACGTGTATGGGGCACTGCGTTGTGCACGTGCATCCCATGCATTGTGTTTAGGGGCGGTGATAAAAAGACATGGCTGTGCGTTCATAAGATGTCTGTCTTGGAAACATTTGTTAACTCTTATACTTCCTATCTAAATTTGAAGTTCAGGTTCAGGCTTTTGTGAAGAGTATACGGACATAATTCGATCACACAACACAATATCTGTTACAAGCCAACTTCAGGTACTGTTTATGGCTTTTCATGTAATTCTTAAAGTTAGCACATTGACGAAACACTGGATCTCATGTTTCATAACAAATAGTTTTAATCACAGAGATGAGACTAGCGTTGATGAAGAAAACAGTGACAAACATCCATTATTATCATATTATTCTTCATTTTTGCCAGGTCCAATGTGGTTTAACATGATGGTACGACAAAATGCAGTTATTCCAAAATAATCTAAAGTGCGACTCATGAACTATCTATCCGTAAAATCGCATTGATATGCTTTTCGGCACTTCTACAGTAATGTTTATGTATTATGAATATTCAATAAACATTGTGCAATATAGCACATTCAGTGAAATTCAGAATCGTATTTGCTATGTTTTATGTTGCCTGCGTGTTGTTAATAAATGCATGCTGACCTCTTCGTACTGACGTTACGCCATGTGGCCATACATTGGACCAGGTTTAACGCTTTTACTTCCAGGAAGACAGAACTTATTTTGATGTTCAGTGTGCATCCACATCAGTTCAGGGTGGTGGGGTAACCAAGTGGTTAAAGCTTTCACTTGTCACGCCGATTCCCCGCATGGGTACAATGTGTGAAGCCCATTTCTCGAGTTCCCCATGGTGATATTGATGGAATGCTGCTAAACCCAAACTCACTCACTCACTCTACAGCAGTTACCCTGTGTCCAACTTTTTTCTGAATAACTACAATCCATCTCCTGTATATTGGTTGTACAAGCACTCCCTACCACAGAGCCTAGACCTTGTATGGAAGTCACGAAGACATAAGGGCTAAGATCGCTGTGTGGGACAGGGTGGTGGGGTAACCAAGTGGTTAAATCATTCACTTGTCACGCCGATTCCCCACATGGGTACAATGTGCAAAGCCCATTTCTCGAGTTCCCCATGGTGATATTGCTGGAATACTGCTAAACCCAAACTCACTCACTCACTCCACAGAAGTACCTATGTGGCCACTATTTTTCTGAATAACTGCAATCCATCTCCTGTATATTGGTTGTACAAGCACTCCCTACCACAGAGCCTAGACCTTGTATGGAAGTCACGAAGACATAAGGGTTAAGATCGCTGTGTGGGACAGGGTGGTGGGGTAGCCTAGCAGTTTAAGCGTTCGTTCGCCACGCCGAAGATGCGGGTTCGATTCTCCACGAGTTTACAATATGTTAACCCCATTTCTGGTGTCCCTCGCCGTGATATAGCTGGAATATTGCTAAAAGCAGAGTAAAATTATACTTAATCACCTCCGAGGAGCAATGTGACGTTGTACAAAACAAACAGCGCTACGATTTATTTTTGATAAAAATTAGAGCTTAGATCGCTCTGTGGAACAGTATCAGGTTCCTGGCCAAGGGATCTTGATAGATATTTGAGTTCATATTTTGCTGAGCACGAATAGTGTCTTGATTAAGTCTACATCTTAAGAGTTAAAACAAAACATAGACACAAGTTACTTTTATGATCCCGGAGCCTGGTTGTGATGTACACAACAAGAATTAGGACCAATTCTAACCAGGAACTCTCTGTGTGTGAAAAGTTGAGAGAAACCAAAGAAGTATTTCTCAGGCACTTGTCACTTCGTTGTCAATTCTTCAAGGTTGGTTGTCTTTATTGCCCAATCTCTCGCCAAGCAATAGTCCAGTTTTGTTAAAATAGTCTGAAGATATCCAATCGCGAGTATGGACCAGACAATCCGGTGATGAACATTACATCACTGACGTATTTGAATAGGATGACATTGATCAAACAAGTTAGCAAATCTGACCGCACAAAAAGTTCCCAGTCTGGCCTATGACATCAGTGAGCAATTTGTATAGGATGACATGCATCAAACAAAGCTGAAAGTCTGACAACACGAAAATATCCGAGTCTGGATCAGACAATCCAGTGATTAACATGACATCAGTACCTTGTATAGGATGACATTCATCAAACTAGTCTGTGAGTTTGACCACACGATCGATCCTACTAGTTGCTTTATACAGTACGCTTGGGAAGCTGGGAACCAACCACTCACTGAAATCATCATAAAAGGTGGTGGGGTAGTCTAGTGGTTAAAGCATTCGCTTGTCACGCTGAAGACCCAGGTTCGATTCATGGGTACAATGTGTGGAGCCTATATCTGGTGTCCACTGCTGTGAAATCGCTGGCAAATTGCTAAAAACGACATAATCTACTCTCACTCACCCACTCACGTCACCGACACCTATCAGATCAGATTACCTACTTGAATTACCCTCCCTTAAACCACTACGACTATCACCTAAGACGTCGAGTTCATCCATTTTCTACAGAGAGGATATTATTAGACTGTGACACTAATACTCTTCCATCCAAAACAGGGAACCTTTGTGAAAAATGATAAATTCAACCAATCCCTTCAGAGCTCTGGTCTAGGGGAAGTAACTCTTCCCGTACACGATCTCCTGGTAATCAAAAACACAGTTTGTCAAAGTGCATGATTAAGGTATCACAACGTAGGAGAACGGTACTTCAGACTGATTCCTGGACTGATTCTTTAACGGGGAAACAGTGTTCTGGTCTCAGGTCTTGGAGCTATCGACACGTCACACACTTTGGACACGTGAAAGTATAGGTGATGTCTATGCTTCTGATAGTGTGTTCATACAGAACCTGAAACAATTATATCCAGTAAGGACGGGAGGGACGTCAGAGTGGTTGGGGCGGGTAGGGTGGACGGGAGGGGGTCAACGTGAGTAGGGTGGGTAGGGTTGACGGAGGGGGTCAAAGTGAGTAGGGGCGTGTAGGGTTGGCAGGAGGGACGTCAAAGTGGGTGGGGCGGGTAGGGTGGACGGGAGGGGGTCAAAGTGAGTAGGGACAGGTAGGGTGGGCGGAGGGACGTCAGAGTGGGTGGGGCGGGTAGGGTTGACAGGAGGGACGTCAGAGTGGTTGGGGCGGGTAGGGTGGACGGAGGGACGTCAAAGTGGGTGGGGCAGCTAGGGTGGACGGGAGGGACGTCAAAGTGGGGTGGGGCGAGTAGGGTGGACGGGAGGGGGTCAAAGTGAGTAGGGGCAGGTAGGGTAGACGGGAGGGACGTCAGAGTAGGTGGGGCGGGTAGGGTTGACGGGAGGGACGTCAAAGTGGGTGGGGCGGCTTCGGTGGACGGGAGGGACGTCAGAGTGGTTGGGGCGACTAGGGTGGACGGGAGGGACGTCAGAGTGGGAGGAGTGAGTAGTAGGGATGTAACGATTCACTCTCACTTCGATTCGATACGATTATCGATTCAATTCGTTCGATTCGATTCACCAAAGCTGAAGACAAAGTCAAATTTGTTGTAGAATCAGTTTAATTTGGCAGACTTTGAAAAATCGGTACAATGCACCATTAGAACACTGTCAAGACATGTTGTCAACAAATACCCACTGAACAAGTGATCATGAAATTAAGTTTCAGTCACGAACTTTGGTGTCAAGTGTTCATTGTGACTGTAATGTCACTGTAAGTCATTTGGAATGATCATGTTCGGTGCAAGGAATTTTCACTTGAAAGACATACCCTCTGGGCACTTACAATGTCTCCGGCAATGGAGAATACCCTCTCAATGGCCACACTTGTAGAAGCGAATTTTCAACATAATTTCTTACGATTTCAGATGAAATAAACTCTTAGTATTAGAATGTAAGTACTGTATGAATCGAAGCGAAATGGATGCATTTGAAATCGAGATCGAATCGTACATCTATCGATCCGATTTTCGATGAACCGAACCGAATCGTGACACCCCTAGTGGGTACGGAGGACGGTGGGGACGTCAGAGTGGGTTGGGTGGGTACGGTGGACGGGGAGACGTCGAAGTGGGTGGGGCGGGTAGGGTAGACAGGAGGGATGTCAGAGTGGGTGGGGCGGGTATGGTAGACGGGAGGATTTCAGAGTGAGTGGGGCGGATAGGGTAGACGGGAAGGACGTGAAAGTAGGAAGGACGGGTAGGATGGACGGGAGGGACGTCAGAGTGAGTGGAGCGGGTAGGGTAGACGGAGGGACTTCAAAGTAGGTAGGACGGGTAGGGTGAACAGGAATGACGTCAGATAGGGTGGGACGGGTAGGGTGGAGGGAGGGTGGTCAGATAGGGTGGGACGGGTAGGGTAGAGGGGAGGTCCGTCAGATAAAATAATAGGGCATAAAATTTCCTATTACTTCATATTCACCATCCAAAAACACAAACAAGAGATTTCTCAAGTAAAATTCATTAAAATACCCAGTCAAGTACAGAAACAAATATAATAAACCCGTATACACACAAAAATGAGCATCGATTTATATTCAAAACAACCAGGTAACACACTCACCAACGATTTGATTTAAATATCAATTGAAGATGTTCACATTACATATATTTCAGAAAATTGCCTAATCGAAAGACTCATTATATGTGTTATGTTGATTCCAGAGACTTGAAAAGTTATTATAAACAAGTGTTTGTACTTTGAAACGAGCACATACCCGTCGTCAGTATATAACGTGAATGAATAGATGTCGAGTGACACACACGACGACGACCAGGAAGTGGAGCGGGGACAGTCTGTCGATTCACGGTGTTGTAATTGTGGTAAGTCTCACGTTAATATGACACAATACAAACATAGATATTACTACCTATAACAGTACCTTGTGTTTTTAGCCAACATTTCTTCTGATTTTGGACTGTTATCTGGGGAGTAAGGGAAGGTTAGTTAACTTAGTTTCAGCACAGGTTAGGACAGAGGTTTCGCTTTAATACAGAAAGTAGACTTGGAATCAACATGGACTAACGTATGTTCTGATGTCGTGTCAGCTGTTGAAATGTCAGTGCTGAAAACGGCTACCTATCTTAGTATCAACATTCATGAACACGCAGTTTTAAGACAAATTAGTACAGTATATCACAGCTTTGAGGCGATGGACATGATTTCACCAGAGTTATGTCCCTTTATACATCGCGCGATTTGCAATGTGCAGCCGCTACATCTTGATCGCTTTGGACGCGCGCGTGTGCGAATGTGCGTGCGTGCTCGAGTGCGTGCGTGATTGATGTTTACACAATTAATAGACTTTGCTATAGACTGGTCCAGACTCGATTATTTACAGACCGCCGCCATATAGCTGGAATATTGCTGAGTGCGGCGTAAAACAAGAAGCAACAACTCTTCTGTGTATTGTTAATCAGCACATTCAGTATGAAGATAAAAGAGTTAGTCGACCAGACAAACCAGTGATTTTAATGATTCATCCTGCCCGAGTACTACGAAAGAGACCCGTTAAGATCCAGGTTAGAATTGATCTTCAGTAACCCATGCTTGTAAGAGGAGTGAATGGTAAGGCTCGATGACTTGGTTGACACGTCATGGGCTCCCAATTGCGTAGATCGACGCTCATGATGTTGATCATTGGATTGTCTGGTCCAGACACAATTATGTACAGCTGGAATATTGCTGAGTGTGGCGTTAAACAACCACTAAACAACCAACTAACCAACCAAGAAAGAGTAAGAGCTGCGTGGTTATACAAAAACAAACTTAGCCCTACGACTGTCCTAAGTTTAAGTTAAGGTATGGAAGTTATAATCACCTAAGAGCAAAAATCACTCTGTGGAACGGCACCAGGTTCCTGGCCAAGGGATCTTCACGAGATCTTAGTTCATATTAACTGAGCACGAATATTTTCTCAATTGGGTCTCTATCTTAAGAGTTAAGACAAAACATAGACTTAAGTTATTTCATGATCCCGGAGTCTGGTGATGTAGACTACAAGAATCAGGACCAGTTTTAACCTGGAACTATCTCTCTGTGGGTGCATGAGTGCGTGTGAGACGTTGCGAAAAAAGTATTTCTCACGCACTTGTCATTTTATTGTCAGGGTTAGGATTAGAGCGCATCTCATCTAGAGGAATGTTGCCCATTCTTGTTGTATGTTTATTGCTCATTGTCTAAGAAATAATCAAGTTTTGTGATAATGGTCTGAAGACAACTGAATCTGGACCAGACAATCAATGATTAACATTGCATCAAGGAGCAAATTATATGGGATGCCGTGCATCAAACACGTCTGAAGGTCCGACAACACGAAAATAACCGAGTATGGACCCGACAATCCAGTGATTAAAGTGAGATTAATGAGTAATGTGTATCGGATGACAGGCATCAAATAAGTCTGTGAGTCTGACCACACCATCCTACTACTTGCTTTATACAGCAAGCATGGGAAGCTGATGACAACCCAGACGTTGAAATCATGATAAAGGGCAGTGTGGTAGCATAGTGGTAAACGCAATCGCTTGTAACGCCGAAGACCCTTGTTTCATTCATGGGTACAATGTGTGAAGCCTATATCTGGTGTCCCCTGCCTTGAAATCGCTGGAATATTGCTAACTCACTCACTCACTCGTGGCGATATCACCTATCAGCTCAGATTACCTACTTGCCCTCCTTTAACATTATGACTATTAACGAAACGTCGATTCCTTCATAATACAGAAGCTGAAATCCATACTTTCTCCACGGAGATGTTATTAGACTGTGACACTAGAACAGAGAACCATCAAAACCAGAGAACCCACTATCTTTGTTAATACTGATAAACTGACGTCATCCCTTCAGGATGGTCTAAGGGAAGTAACTCTTCCCGTATACGATCTCAAGTCCTCGAAAACACATTTGGTCTAAGTGCATGATTAAGGTTTCACAACAAAGGTGACCGTCACTTCCGAGTGCTTCCTTGGCCGATTCCTTAACGGGGAACGAGTATCATGGTCTCAGGTCTAGGAACTAATTTTGGATGAGATCAACACGTCCAACACTGAATGTACAGGTATGTATGTACTTCTGATAGTCTGCTCATAGGATATAGGATATTTATATAGCGCACATATCCACGCAACTAGTGCATGCTCAAGGCGCTGGTATTTTTCCCCCTCGATCATTGGATGTCAATCTCAACGGCACATCGTATTATCAATCTCAACTCTCTGGGTAGTATACAACTCTTGCAGCCATTAGGCGCACCGAGGTATTGCGGCTTTCTAATCCTAACGAGGTACCCATTCACAGCTGGGTGGACTAGGACACATAGTCACAGTACTGTGACAAGTTCACTGCACGTTGCTGTACCCGCAACTAGCTATAGCTTACGAAAGAGTGAGTGAGTTGTTTTTTACGCAGCTTTAACAATATTACAGCAATATCACGGCGATGAACACCAGACATGGGCTTGACATAGTGTAGCCATGTGAGGAATCGAACCTGGACATTCGGCGTAACGAGCGAACAGTTTAACTACTAACACCACACAAAATGTCTGTATTACCTAAATTTACTAACATTAGGGAATATACGTTTCATCCGGCGGCCATATGAACAACGTTTTAAATCTACGTATCATCTGGCTGTCAGATTTACACAAGTTTAAAGGGGTGTTAAAATGAACGAACACTCAACTCTGTATTTACTTGTATTTTACAGGTGTGTAAATCTGGCCATTGTTTTCACGTGTTTTCTAGCATGTGTAATGTATGTAAATGCTGTGATTGTAGGACATGCATTTCAATACCTTTGAAATCTCGTATGACCAGGGTTAGGTTTGTCATATATTTAGTACACGCGTAAATAGTTGGTAATGGGTAAATATAGTGTTACAAGATTAACACGACTTTAACATGTATTTCAATGGTTTTGTAATGTAACTGTCACATCGGGTTCGTTAGCGCGTCGAACCACGCCATAATGCACGGAGATCATTAGAAACACATGACGATGTGATACCCATGACTGAGCACCACTATTAATGTGCCTGCCTTTCTTGACATACACTTGATGTCTGTTTAAAAGGTTACAATATTGGGTCTATGGGCCAGAGCGATATGCATGTTAGGTAGTGTGTGTGTGCATGTGTGTGTGAGGGAGAGGGTGTGGTATGGGGTAGGCCTAGGGTTGGGTGGTGGCGGTGGGGTACTGATAAGCATTTCTGATCAGTAGGTAATACCGTTTATACATTTTGTAATGGAAATTACATTATAGATTAAATAATTGACCTTAGGTACACTTGTTACATTTACACACACACTTAAAGAGTTGTTGATCTCATAAATTTTCAGCATTTCATTTTGAAGAAGGTGCAGTCAAACATGTTCAGCACGCCTTAAAATAAATTTGAAACTGAAGATTCCTTTGGGAAGTTGTGAATAAATGGTGTTATTTGTCAAACATCTAAAACATATTTCAATTACTTGAAGACAAGTATTGTACAGTTCACAGATTTTGAAATGTTCACACTCTATCACTTCTACACCAACTCCTTTGTTCATGTAATAGATACAAACAAATATTCCTACTGTCTAACCAACATTAGAATGAGGTGCACAAAAGACGCATTTGTGAAAGGAGAGCTGGGAGCGTGCCGTGAACTGATCCACTACCTACTCGAATGGGGAACAGGTGTGAAATCTTCGCGCACGTGATTTTTGTGATCCTTGCAGTAATTCTTTCTACGCAATGATTCGGAAACGTTGTGTTATTGCTCGAGCATGTGTATACTAGTATCTTGTAAAGTGGACTGTTAAAAGAGTATTAAACTCTGCAGGTATTTGAAACTTATCATGTCGCACTCTAAATCGGGTAAACGGGGTCAAGTCATTCATTCACAAACACGTGAGGTTGCCTACAATGTCATTCAATACATGTGTACTATTTCCGACAGCACACACAATGCACTCAAAAATGCCAGCGATGCTACTGGTATATCTGTCAGTACCTTGCGCAAAATAAAGGACGAAGGTAAACAGGGGCGTAGCTACCATCATGGAAAAAAGGCCGGGCTCACACATGGCAAGCTCTCAACAATAACTAAATATAAAGCTTTGCAACCGACCAGGGTTTCCTTTCTTTGCACTTCGATGCATTAGTTTGAACAGTTGGATGTATTAGTTTGAACACTCCGATGTATTAGTTTGAACACTTCGATGTATTAGTTTGAACACTTGGATGTGTTAGTTTGGACACTTCGATGTATTAGTTTGAACACTTCGATGTATTAGTTTGAGAAAAACATTATCAACGTGCGATGTGTGCACATGATACTTAACACTGACGTAGTTTCATAAGGGTCGTGTTGAACATTATTTTGGTCTGTATACCTCAATGATAACTGTGCTGAGCTATGACACCTCTGTGAACTGTAGCAATTTAATCAATGTAATGGTATGTTATGGCTTTGCCGGGCTTAACAGAAACCAAGTCAGAATCTCGCTGGTGGAATCAAGAGAGCTACGTGCTGTTGTAAGACCATACCCCTCTTTTTATACCTGAACTGGTATACATTTTCTGGACGAAGAGCTAAGTCATATTCAAGGTTGCGGTACTTCTTCTCATAGCTACATGCACAATTGTCCTAAAGGTGCCTCCACATGACGAATGTGAACCTTGCTCTCTCCTCTCGGTGTTCACATAGTACATTTGTTTGTCACAGGTGCAGTAGTTAAGCTGTCGAATGGTGTTTACAGGTTATTCATTGAATACAAAAGATGTTTACCAGTCGTTGTCAAGTTAAGATAATAAGTGCTTAGTGTAGGTATTTATG